AGATGACCCGATCTGTTTAACATCCAGACCAGGGGTCATCTATAAGGGACTCACGTTCATGCTTGAATTTAGAATACAATGGAGCACCACATTACTAGATCTCTCTTGCTTTTGTACCTTCCATATACAAAAATTTGATGACTGCTCAATCTTAATCAAAACCCATAGCTTCAGTTAGTAGTTCACTTTAAATTTTTACTCTGAAACAGAGAACATTAGTCAAAAGATACTGTTACACTACCTTTCTATGAATTTACTGACTGACCCTCATAACTAAGTAATTATATTAGGTAGATAAGCATAATATATAACATTTTACTAACTATATTATTTGCCTATACCAGTTGTTACTTTCTTTACATACAGTAGTCTCATAAAATAAAAATCATTCTACACTTACTTCTTCCCTTATTTTTTGCTGTAATCACATACACATTAGAATGACTCATTCCAAAGATATAATAATTAATATGTATTTGACATATAACAGTCATTAAAGAATTATTAATAGTTTAATACATATATTGGCAAGAAAGTATTCATTTGTTTGATTTGAAATTCCAGACTGAAGATTCCCTTTTTTCATATGACATTTAAACTTTTACAACACTAATATTATAACTTTTGAGACATTGTCTTTCTTTCATCATATAGTTAATACTTTGACCATTTTGAATGCCTGCCGCTATGTTTCTATTTCAAATTTATGTTACAACTTAAAAAGAAGAAGAAACCACAGTGCTTGCATGTGTAAACTTAGTCACCGTAAATATCGTCGTCATGCATGCTCACACATCACCTGGGCCATAGAATTTGCTCTTACTCTTACCTGAATAAATTATGCCTGTTATCCAAAGTAATATTAGTAGTACCGATTTAAATTTATGTCGTACTAAAACATTTTTTATGGTACACATCTTAAATAATAAAAATTAGTTTCATATCATCTCTAAAGCAGTGGTAAAGTGTTAATTTATCAAGATAACTATTACGTATAACGAAACTTATAACTTCAAAAGTCACCCTCCTATTCTATTCGATATCTCCTATACTTTTTTTCCTATGTTTAAGATTGAACATTACTTACCGGCAGCGCCCTCTATGATGCTTACAGATGTGTTTGGTCACCTATGTCCGTTTAGGGCACAAATATATATAAAATATTTCTGTCAGAAGTTAAGAAAATTTAGTAATCATCAATACAATGGCAGAGAATGAGAAGGAAAAACAAATACCTTTCTGTAAAGTATTAAAATGTACGTAAGAGGGATTAATGAAATCCACTTGTTAATTTCTTTTATTCACCAAAATGTGAATTTTAGTAAAGTAAAGATAATGTAAAAGCTTAATTTATTCTTTGATTTCTACTTCCGCTGTAACAGACTAGTTTCGCCGGATTCTTCGCTCATCATTGCTGCTTGGAAAAGTGAAGCAAATAAACAAAGTAGGCCTCATATAGTAATGGAATGTAAGCAGTTTGTTTGATTTAGATGTCTAGTCCTCTAATCACCACTAATAATCTAAAATATTTTAAGTGATTAGATGACTGGTTGGTTCAGAGCAAACCCACATTGGGGATATCTGCTGTGTCCACCGTGGGGAAACTAACCCCAGATTTTAGTGTTGTAAGTTCATAAAATTACCGCTGACCAACCGGGGTAGTGATTAGATGAAATATGATTGTGTCCATCGTTAATTTCAAAGGGGGAGGCGAAGTTAACAATTTACTAACATATATAAGTATAGCTTTTTGTTATTCTTCACAAATTGCATTATGTGGCGTGAAGGGACATATTTCATCGTTTACTTTATACTTTCGTTTATTATTATGAGGATAAAAATTTCATTATTTTCAAGAACTTAGTACCCTCAAAACAATCACACATGCGCGCGCACACACATATATATGTTTACTTATATGTAGATACATCAAATCCACGCAATCTTTTTGCTTTTAAGGCTATGAATATACAGGTAGTAGAACTTGAAATGTTGTAGTGCTTAGAGAATAATAATCACTAAACTCACAAGATATAACAAGTAATTTGTATGGTACTTAATATATATATATATATATATTTGGATGTAAAAATAATAAACCCTTAAGTACAGTAAAAGTTGTAATATCAATATAATTGCGTCCCAAAATAACTATCATATGAGAAGTAATCCTCACGTTCTTTATTTTTCTAAATCATGGGAAGATTTTGACTGTTATTATTGTCATTCTGATGTGTAATGAACTTAATAATAATTGAAAAAATGACAGTTCCCAAATCAATCTAGGTCTCACTAAAAAAAACTGTTTTCGATTAACTGGTCATATTTAATTAGAGTGACTCATGAGATTATATTTGTCACAAATAACATATGAAATATTTAAAACAATGAAGAGAAGCATACATAAAACATGTTGGCCATATAGCTTCACAGCTTGGTAACAGATGAGTCAAAGATAGTTTCACTAGACAATAAAAAATAAAAAACAAGACGAGTGCTTAGTTGTTATCAGAAAATTGTTTCGGTTCGCCATTTCTTTAAATCATAAATCTATGTCAGCAAGTAAAATATGTTATATTTATATCTATACAGCCTTTTTTATATCTATTTAAACAACTTAAAAAACATATAAAATATCAGTAACTGAATGAGATATATACTTTATGAACTCAGATATGACTGAAATAACACATACTTTATGGGCTGAAAAATAAGCACTGCTTTTATAACGAAATAACCTATAAAATTGAAGAGGATTTTAATGTTTGAAAAAACAAAAGATATGTATATCACCTTTTGTGTTTTTTTTTACCCACAGCAAAACGTGAAATGAACATTGAAACGAGAGCTATTAAGCCTAATAGGAAATGTTTAACACTGTTTCGTAAGCTGTCTCGTAGTTGATTTTGAAGATTAGTATTATAGTATAAGTGTTATTTATATTTAAAAGCTGTTGTTAGCGGGAAAGCTTAAATCCCTTAGCGCTGGTAAGTACTAACTATTCATTATTAAACTAAATCGATTGATTTAAAAATTGGTTAAGAAGACATATGAGTTATGTGACAAAATAACCTATCACTATTCGATGACGAGGAACATACTTCAGGTACCAGTGATGACAAAACCTTGTCGAAACGTTGTACATTTGCTGTTATGTTAAACTTATATTAAAGTTTTTCTTCATTAACCATTCAAGCCGTCTCCAGCCATTATTAACCTATCACTATCACTTACTCAGATTGATTCATTGTAGTACTACTACTACTAGTAGTGATAGTATGAGGAACAACATTTGAACAAGAGGCTTTTTGACCCATTGTGACTGTCCCATTTAATTTATTTCAACACCTGTCTGTGTATAGCCAGCCCTGACTTCCCAAATATTTATCAAGGCCTCTCTGGAACTCTCCCAATCCTGTTGCGTTTATCGCATGTGAATATTTTGGGAAGGCAAGTTATTCCAAAATCTGACCACTCTATTCGAAAAATATAATTGCCTAATTTGCAGATGACTTCTAAGTTCTGCCTTGCTATATCTTAAATAATAAATAGTCAGTTTATATCCCCTAGTTCTACCACTGTCCACTCTTACTATTAGTATTACCATTAATACCACTAAAAACGAAAAACATTTTAGCATCAATCCTATAATTTTGAATACTTAATTCAGATTCCATCTGACTAGCAATAAAATTTAAAAGAAGATAGCTACCTGATGTTTAATATAATCATCAAATTGTATTATGACTATGAGTATTACCATTACTATAAAGTTTCAACCTGTTAGTGTGACAGCAGTAGGTCTGTAGACTTACATTCTGACTCTAGCAATAAAATTTAAAAGAATATAGCTACCTTATGTTTAATGAAATCATCGAATTGTATTATGACTACGACTATTACCATTACTATAAAGTTTCAACCTGTACCACTGCTGAAGACAAGTCTGTTTGTGGGACAGCAGTAGGTCTGTGGACTTACAGTGCTACTAACTGGGGTTTGATTCCCCATGGTGGACCCAGCAGATAGCCTAATGTGGCTTTACTCTAAAAACAAACAAACAGAAAAAAGAAAACATATGAATACAACATTCCTTTCATTCTGTCTTGTTTTTAGAATGTAGAACAAAAATGTTGGAGGTCTTTATTTTTTCAATCCCCAGGATAATCTTGTAATAAGATCAGTTTGACCCCCTTTTTCAGAAACATTGGAAATCACCTGAATCATGTAAATATTAATCTCTTGATGGTAAGTAGAAAAACAGAAAGATTAGAATCAGATAAACAGAACCAGATATGGTTTTCTTTAGAGTTATAAAGGAAGTTTAAGTAATTTTTGTTCAGTCAATAAAAAGTGAGCAGGTGCCTGAGAACTGTAGAATTGCTTGAATTACTCCTGTTTTTAAAAGGAGTTTTAGGAGTTACCCTGGAGATTATAGACCAGTTAATCATACTTCTTCAGTGGGCTAAATTCAAAAGAGTGAGACAAAAGAAGCTTTAAAAAAATCACTTAAATTATAACCTTTGGACATCAAAGGACCATTTGTTCTTTCAAGGCTGTCCTTGTACACCCATCTTTGGGAAAAATCAAAAACTTAAACCCACTCTTTACTTATCAGGAAATCATCTTTATAAACAATGTAAAGTGCTGGCCTCCATTACTGCTGATGGCATTTACTAACTTGTAACTTAGTAGTAGGCCTACGTCCTGATAACAACAGTAATTTAAGCTTACCGTCTAGTATTAAATATAATGACTTTAAGCTTAGCTTTACCTGCAATTATGAAACCTAAAACTATCCTGTCATAACTAACCTAATTCAAATGCACTTAGATAACTGCTGAAAAATTTAATGATGTCAAAGTAAAAACTTTAAAATGTATAACTACAAGTATTTCAATTCCTTTATTTTATGACTCGTAAATATACATCATTTTACTCCCACAGCTCCATCTTTCTCTAAATCAGTGAACTATAAAATAAAGCCATCATGGATTCCCCAAAAGGAAATCTTGACTTACTAATCTGTCACCTTTTTTCAAAGATGATACTTTTTTTTGGTTGAAGGAAGAGTGTGGATTTGGTGTATTTAGGTTTACCAAGTTTTAACTAGTCTTAAGAAAGACAAGTTAATTGAATTGTGGGGTGGTTGAATGGTTACAAGTAAAAAGAAAATAATTATCTATCTATCTACAAATCATTGGATGAAACTCACTTGGAATACTGTGTACAAGTTTGGCCTTCTTATCTACGAAAAGATATTTACTTATTAGGGTTCAGAGAAGTTCTACTAGGATGATTCTAAGGATGGAGGGGTTACCTCAAAGGATACGTTAAGATCTGTTGCTTTGTTATGAGAAAGTAAGGGTAAGAGATGACATTATTGAAGTTTATAAGATTATGTGAAGGGATTGATAGGATAAAAATAACCGAGTTCATGTGTTGTATTCCATAGATAAGCGGATTAAAAGAGATTTAGAAAGACAGGCTAGATTCCTCTTAAGAACAGTTTTGTAGTAAGATAATTTGCTTCTGGAGTAAGTTACCAACACTTTACAGGAATTTAAGAGGGTAATTAATGAATCCCTGACACAATAAGGGTGGGTTGGAATGTTTTATGTTTAGTAGGGTTGAGTGAGTAAGGTCAACCTTGAAAAACCAAATGGACCCTTGTCGGCTGTAGATTGTTAACTTGTCCATAAATGGTAACTATTCCATCTCCAGGATCATCCTAATAGCCCTCCGAAAAGTCAATATTGTTTCTTAGACCATAAGTTTACAGTATTCCAAGTGAGGCCTAATTATTGACTTGTGTGTGTGTGTGTACACTTCTTTTGATTTGTGATCACTATGTCTATAAATACACACTAAAAGTTCAATAACTATTAACAAAGCACTGTCTCAAAGGTTTGAGTGAGTTATTCATTACTCTGTCAAGACTATTACATTAAAAATGCATTATATTTCACTTATTATAATGACATTGGTCAAATATTTGTCCAACTTATCTGTTGAACCAAGTCGTTCTGTAGTACCTCAACATTTTCAATACAGCTAGGAATACCCAAGAGTTTACTTTCATCTGCAGACTTTAATAATTTACTAATTATGCCCTATCAATCTCATTTTTATTATTTTAATAATGTGATTCACTTGTGGAGTGAATTCTCATCGACGAAAGTGAAGATTAACACTTTAGATATATTGTTACGTCTCCGTTTGTTAATTGATTTTTCCGTAACTTTGTTCCGACGAAACTTTAACGACACAAGTCTTTACTTAATAAAACTGGTTTATTCTTTCCGAATATAACTTTACGATACACTTAATTTCAATATTCGCGCTAAAACAAACACTATAACGAACGAACGTTAACTTCAACAATACGTCTCTCTCTGACCGCAGTTCAATTACTCATTACCTACACACACATTACATTATTCTCCCGTCACGTTGTCACCCTCTTTTATATACCAGACTACCCTATATCTAGTAAATACTAGAGCATTCGCCAAGGTACGGGATAGTTCTAGAAACGTGGCGTCACACTAGTCGTGTGACTCGCTGACGCAACAATATATATGTATATATTTATCTATACAAGTAATTTAATGACATCAAGAAACATTTTGGTCCACCTAGATCATCCCATTCACTAAACTAAACTTTAAAATGAAAATAAAACAAAGCCAGCCCTCATCATCCAAAATATTTATCAAGTCTTCCCTCAAATTCTCCTAAATTAACTTCATCCCCCACAATTGAAGATATCTTCCAAAAGCTAACCAACCTGTTAGAAAAATAAAGCTTTCTTAGCCGAAGATGACTCCTACTCTGTACCCTGCCAAAATTTGTGTCCCCTAGTTCTACTATTCTCACCATTAAGTGTGAAAAAAGATGATTCATCAATACTAACAGTTCCCTTAATGATCTTGAACAATCCAATCAGATCCTCTCTAACTCTTCTTTTTTCAAGAGAACATTTCAGGGATCTTAAGCTGTCCTCGTGTGACAACCATTCTATCCTAGGTATTATCCCTGAACCCTTTCCAACAGTTGAATGTCCTTCCAGATGTAATGGGCCCAAGACTGAAAACAGTACTCCAAATGTGTCATAACCTGTGTAAGCTTGTATTTACAACGTCTGTAGGTACAACCTAAAATCCTATTTACAGGAGTTTAAGTGAGGAATTAATGATTTATTTAAAAGAAAAGGATGGATTTATATTTTTACTTATTTTAAGGACAGTCTTGAAGGACCAAATGGTCCCTTGTTGTCCGTATTTTATGTTCAATGTGAATAAAAAAAAAACAAAGGCCCTAGCAGACCATTGAGCCACTCCACTAGTAAACAAGAGTCCAATTTGATTGGACTCCTTGAATAACAGTTTTATTTCTGTCATTCACCCACTTATAGTCTTTCCCCAACCTCCACCAATGTGATTTTGAAAATCTAAGTATACTCTATTTCCTTTGGCCGTTTAACATGTAATATCCTCAAAAAAAGTTAACTGGAAAATTTCTTAGTGATTTTCTTCTATGAATTTGTAAAGTTTATTTGATCAGACTCTCGAGTGTGTTTCTCATTACAGATTAACCGCTTATAATTCCCAGATTAATTGTAAAAACCATATTTAAAAAAAAGTAGCAGCATTAGCAACTCTCCAGTGCTCAGGCGCTTGCTGATTTATCTGTGTGTTTAATATTATTAGGCCTAACATAATGTCTTCATAATAATGATAATACTGTAGGATTTATCTTTTGCAGCAGAAATAACTGAACCAAAAGCAGATTTATCTTAATGTTAAATATTCCTTCAAAATACAAGTAAATTTTTATTTTACTCATTTTTGTGATTCCAGACCATAAATGGGAAAGAAAAAGGAGAACCTTGGAAGAAGTTTAATTAGAAGCCATGGAGAAAAAGGAAAGAATAATGAAAGAAGACAAAGTTTGGTATGAGGATCTTCTGAAAGCATTTAAAACATCTTTCAGTTACATTGAACTAGGACACAGCTGACATAGACTGAATGTTTTTGTCTAATCTTACTTGTCAGACTATATAGTCACCATGTTTAAAAATGAATGATAACATAGTATACAGACAACTAATGACCATTGGGCCCACCCTTGAAAAAAAGAAAATTTTAAACCCACCATTTATTTTTGAGAAAATCAGATACCTCTTTTAAGACTTACCAACACGGGGTCAGTCCATTGGGTTGACCCCTTCTAATTTCAGAAAACTATCAGTGTTGTATATCTCCCAGCATTAGAATGAACTATGTAACCTCTATTGTTAGAATTCTTGAAAACTGTATGTCTTTCTTTTCAGTATTGGTACCTTTATGTATTTTTATTGAACTTTTAATCTTTATTATCTTAATAAGAAAAAAATAGAAGCACAATTTCCTATCCTTTGTTACAAACAAGTTTTTATTTCACCCGTTCACTGGAGGGTACTCCAGCTAGTATTTAATAATTCTCACTATAACTCTGAATATATTAAGTTTATCTTCACAAAATTTGGCAAATTTTTAGTAAACATGGTAAGTGTTGTACATAAAAGATCCGATGTTTTAATCAGTTATTTCAACTAAAGATATACTTCTGAATTTACAAAGCCTTTACTGAGTTAGTCTAAGTGAGAGGTTGTTTTATGGTAAGAATAACAAGGCTTTTTTATCTTACATTTATAATATTTCATTTGCATAACCTTTAGAATCTCCTAAATGAATATCAGAAGTTTTTTTTTGTCAGTGAAATTTATCTTTTATTTTCTTTACCCTAACTAACATCAGTGAAAACATCGGTAAAATAATTGCACCTTTTTGTTTTCTCTAGAGTGACTGTAGATTGTAACAGATGATTAAAATTATTTATTTTAACCTTTACACATCATTCATTTAATTTTATGGTTTTATTATTGTACCTTTAAACCCTCTCTTTTCTATGAAAAGCAATAAATCACAGCCGGTACAGCTCTGGGTAAACAAATGATCAGGTTACAACCTCACACATACTGCGAGAATTCTCTAGTTTCCACATCGACTTAAATGTTATTTAAGTTTTGTTACCGAACCTAAGAAGTTTATAATTTTTATTAAAACGTATATGACAATAAATAAAAAATGTTCTTCCTATTTGCACTCGGATGATGTGCTTCAATAACTACTTTCTCACTATGTTGGTCGTCCAAAAGATAGATATGTATTTTAGAATAAAATAAAACTGTCTTGGACAATAGAATAGAATGTCCCAAAACTACTGTACTTTATCTGGCTTTCTAATTAAGCTATAAATAGACTAAACAATTCTAGTGTTTTTACTCAACACATCTCACATTTTTCTTGTGAACTACTGTCTTTAATTTCCAAATCTAAACAAACAGTCTTAATATTCTTGTACATTACAGTATGTTTTTTCCATTGTTATAAACATGCCGTACACAAGGTATATAACTGGCTTGAAATGCATGAACGAACGGGAGGGACTTCTCTAGTGTGTTTGACAAGAAATAATGAATAAACTGGAATGGACTGGCAACTGCCTGTTGTAAAAAAACACAAGTGTAGAGGACGACATTTCAAAAGACTTGTGTCTCCAGGTACAGAAAACTTTTGAAACGTCGTCCACTACACTTGTGTTTTTTACAACAGGCAGTTGCCAGTCCATTCCAGTTTACTCATCATGAATACTCTGACTAAACAATCTGTCAAAGAAAGCAAGAAATAAGTAAGTTTATGTGTTACTTATATTTTAAGACCTAAACCTAGCACTAAGAGAGCTCTTTATTTATAAACATGGCAACTCTTTATATAATCGGTAACATATTTTATAAAAAAACTCTTTTCTCACAGAAACATACAACTGACCTTCCTGATGGCTACGACTGGGCTCGTCTTAACTTGCGTAGCGTTACCGAACAGAATGACTTGGATGAATTTCTAGCAACTGCTGAACTTGCCGGCACAGAATTCATTGCGGGTAAAGCAGTACAAAATATTCACTAATAGAGATCATTGTATAATTAGATTTATTGATACATATTGAGATGAAATTGTAGCTTCCAGAAAGCCTACTTCAAGGCCAGGAGACAAGATTTACCTTTAGTGAATTGGTGGTGAATAGTGGTGGAGAGTATAATGAAAGGCTTAACCTAACTGTCTATAAATGTAACATTGTACGTAATGGTTTAATACAGGGTTTAACCTACTTATCTAGAAATGTCATGTAGTATTTAGTAGTAGAAACCACAGTACAAGATTTAACAATTTATTATTAAGTAAGAGTTAGAAATAGAATTTCAGAGTCATGGTGTTATTTAAATATAGCTTGTTACAAAAACAAATTGCTTGTTTAAGTTATCGGGTTCTCAAACACAGTTTCTTTAACAGGTAAATGTGTAGTTGAAAATGAAATTAGAGCTTTTAATATTTTTAGGGCATGCTAAGTAAAAACTAGTAGTTTGTAAACATTTTTATTTATTTGTTTTTTTACAGAGAAACTGAACATTCAGTTTGTGAATCCTAAAACTAGAATTGGTCTATTGTCAGAAGAGGAAAAAAAAGCAATTAAAGAAGCTCAAGAAAACAATAAAAAGCTCTTATCAATTCCAAGAAGGTCTGTTTGTGTTCTAGTTGTATTACAGATGGAAGACCCTACCTTATTAACTGATTAAAAGATGTTACTTGTTATCTGGATGAATTTGGTTTACTGGATTTTCTAATAGCTTGTGATTATGTGCCACATAAATTTGTGATACAATTTAAGTTAGTTGAATGAATGAGGAAGTAGAGGAAGCTGGGAGGAAGTAGAAAATTATTATTAACAGAGCTCATTCTCACTAGATGACTGTTACAGGTGGTGTGCCTCAGGGATCTGTTGTTTGATCATTGTAGTTCATTATTGTCTTGATTCTGAATGTAGTAGGACAAGAGGTCATACATTTAGAACTTGGAAAGGTCAAACATCTCCAGTTAAAGAAGTTTATTTCACTGATAGGGTGGTAAATCTCTTGAATATATTTCGATGTAGAATGGTGAAGGCTTCAACTTTACAGGAATTTAAGAAAAAGGTTGAGAGAAATACATGGTCGATCCAGGTTGGGTTTACCATTTTGTTGACGAAGGTTAGGAGTCACAACATTCTTGATAGGCCAATAGGTCCCGATGTTTGCATAATTTATAATAAAAGTACAGTTTTTAAGCTCTTTCTTGCATTTAGTTTAAAGTTCAAAATTTGGTCATTATCATTTCAGGATGGATATTAAGTAAAGAAAACTTTGTGATTAAATTTAATTGTAGTTTCACAAAAGAATTATGAAAATTGTCATTATTATTATTTTCTGTTTTATGATGTAGTGTTTATTTACCATTTGAAGGAGTGGTACATTGAGTGTTGAAGTATGTGTTCCTATAACAAGGTTTGTTAAGCTTGATTTTCTTGTTTTCTGCCATGGTTTAGGTTTTGGTTTTGTTTCATGTGTGAATTTGTTGTTTTATGGAAATTTTATGCATAATGGTATCAGTTGATAAAATACAAACGTTGAATGTTTATTACATATTTTTATGATCTATGTTTTCACGTATAAGAGGGGAGGTTTTGATATACAGTCTTACACCTTCTTAAAGTGTTCTGAAAGTGTACATAAAGATGCTTCATGTCAGTCTTACGCCATCTTAACTCAGTTTGGAAGTGTACATACAGACATTTCAGGTCAGTCTTATGCCATCTTAACTCAGTTTGAAGTGTACATAAAGACATTTCAGGTCAGTTTTATGCCATCTTAACTCAGTTTGGAAGTGTACATAAAGACATTTCAGGTCAGTTTTACACCATCTTAACTCAGTTTGGAAGTGTACATAAAGACATTTCAGGTCAGTCGTACACCATCTTAACTCAGTTTGGAAGTGTACGTAAAGACACTTCAGGTCAGTCTTACACCATCTTAACTCAGTTTGGAAGTGTACATAAAGACACTTCAGGTCAGTCTTACACCATCTTAACTCAATTTGGAAGTGTACATAAAGACACTTCAGGTCAGATGAAACTCAGTTATTTTACAATACCCTGAAATTTGTTTTATAAGTGCTTACCATACTTGTTACCGAATAATTGCACCAATCCAAAAACAACTAAAAAGATCATATGAATTACTGATCCACAGTGCTATCATATTGAAATGAATGTAGCTAATCTTATATCTGAAAATTATCAGACCACAGTGGGACTATAACACCACACCTGAACAACTGGACCAGAATGAAAAAGACAGATTTCTTGAGTGGCGTCGACAACTCTCTCAGTAAGTATTGCCTTTGTTTCTGTGTACGTGTGTCTGCTCATTATAATTTCCAAAACTTACCATGAGGAAACAATTAACTCATCTGTAATCCAGAAACTAATTACTACTGTAGTGAAAATTAGTTTTTGTTCATGTGTATTTTGAACAAAAAACTTGGCACTAAATGTCATTATAACTAGGCAAGATTGTGCTTTGTATATCTGTGTATTTTGAACATAAAACTTAGCAGTTACATGCCATCATTAATTGCTAAGGTTTTACTATAAACCAATGTATGTTCGTGTATTTTTTAACATAAAACTTAGCACTTACATGTCATCATCAATTGTTAAGGTTTTACTATAAACCAATGTATGTTTGTGTATTTTTTAACGTAAAACTTGGCAGTTACATATCATCATTAATTGTTTAGGTTTTACTATACACCAATGTATATCTGTGTATTTTTTAACACAAAACTTGGCAGTTACATGTCATCATTAATTGTTAAGGTTTTACTATAAATCAATGTATGTTTGTGTATTTTTTAACATAAAACTTAGCACTTACATGTCATCATTAATTGTTAAGGTTTTACTATAAACTAATGTATGTTTGTGTATTTTTTAACATAAAACTTGGCAGTTACATGTCATCATTAATTGTTAAGGTTTTACTATAAATCAATGTATGTTTGGCCAAGTTTTATGTTAAAAAATACAAGTTACATGTCATCATTAATTGTTAAGGTTTTACTATAAACCAATGTATGTTTGTGTATTTTTTAATGTAAAACTTGGAAGTTACATATCATCATTAATTGTTAAGGTTTTACTATAAACCAATGTATGTTTGTGTATTTTTTAACATAAAACTTGGCAGTTACATGTTATCATTACTTGCTAAGGTTTTATTATAAACCAGGGTTTGAAGTATATCATTTTTAAACCTTAAATTCTCAATAAATAAAAGAGGTATTTTTCTCCCAACTTTCTTTTGTAAAACACGTCACATTTTGAAACAAAAATCTAGTTGTGATTGAAGTGCTTATATATGTTTAGTGTGGTATGCTTATGAATTTACCACAAAATTCAATTCTAAAGAAGATATTTTTATATAAACTTGTCATGAAGACTGGAAGAGACGGAACACCTGATTTTAACACCTTATGAGAAAAACTTGCAATTTTGGAGACAGTTATGGAGAGTTGTGGAGAAAAGGTAGTAAATCTTGTGTGTTCACACTCTTTGGTTAAGTCCCACATCACTTTTAAGTTTCTGTTATTGTTTAAAAGAATTCTGTAAAACATTAATTGCTGTTTACTTCAAAACACTGGTATTAACTGTTGTTTTGCTAAACAGGGGTCATGTTTTTCTAACTGTTGGGACTGTTTTGTACGGAAGTTTTAAAGTACATTTGCTTTGAGCTTTTTTTTTTAATGTTGGTGTGTTACAGTTTGTTCTTGCTTTATGTTTAGAACATACAGAGGTTACACAAAATATCGGTAATCAATATATATTAGTGGTAACTTAGATACTCAAAGTTTCAGTGATAAGAGATTGTAGTACTAGAATGTTTTCATTTAGTGTGACGTAAAAATCATAAAGCCATATAAACTAGGTTTGTAGTACAAGGATAAGGTCTTCCCACCAAATAGTATTATCCAAATTCATTGACAGCTTTGAGTAGAAATTTCTTTTATTATAGAATAAATACAACATTTCAACAACTACTATTGTCATTTTTGGTGTGAGAATACTTTTATACTGGCTCTTCAATGAAATCAGGGGGGGGGGGGTCTTGAAATAAGTGAACTAAGTGCTGTGCTTAATGCTGCATAACCTATAATATGTACTAGTACTATTTATAAAGTTTACAAATTAAACCAAGATACTTACAATAGTACTATTTGTAAAGTTTACAAATTAAACCAAGATACTTACAATAGTATTATTTGTAAAGTTTACAAATTAAACCAAGATACTTACAATAGTACTATTTGTAAAGTTTACAGATTAAACCAAGATACTTACAATCCAACATTTATTGCTAGTTTTAGCAAACTATAGACCTATATGACCATAATGTCGCATCAACTGAAACTAATTCACCCAGAAGTAATTTGATAAGCATAATTATGTGTGTATCACTGAACCACGCTACATTAATTACCCATTTATCATTCAACCACGCTACATTAATTACCCATTTATCGTTCAACCACGATACATTAATTACACGTTTATTGTTCAACCACGCTACATTAATTACATGTTTATCGTTCAACCACGCTACATTAATTACCCATTTATCATTCAACCACGATACATTAATTACACGTTTATCGTTCAAAAACGCTACATTAATTGCCCATTTATCGTTAAACCATGATACATTAATTACCCATTTATTGTTAAACCATAATACATTAATTACCCATTTATCGTTAAACCACGATACATTAATTACCATTTATTGTTAAACCATGATACATTAATTACCCATTTATCGTTAAACCACAATACATTAATTACCATTTATTGTTAAACCATGATACATTAATTACCCATTTATCGTTAAACCATGATCCATTAATTACCCATTTATCATTAAACCACGATACATTAATTACCCATTTATCGTTAAACCACGATACATTAATTACCATTTATTGTTAAACCATGATACATTAATTACCCATTTATCGTTAAACCACGATATATTAATTACCCATTTATCGTTAAAACACGATACATTAATTACCCATTTATCGTTAAACCACGATACATTAATTACCCATTTATCGTTAAACCACGATACATTAATTACCCATTTATCGTTAAACCACGATACATTAATTACCCATTTATCGTTAAACCATGATACATTAAGCTGTTAACAGAAAATTTGGCACCAAATTTAAAAAGTATTTTCAAAGAACGAAGATCACAGTTTTTTTGATGAACCACTGGCCCATTGGGAGTTTTCTCGATGTCCTGATGGATTGGTTTATTTCATCATTCAAATTTAATTTTTGTGTTTGTACTTCAAAATGACCACAGTAGTGGTCAAATGTTGTACTTATTATAATCTAGAAACATCTTCCATAAAAAGCTGTCAATGAATTTGAGTTTGTACTAATTGCTTGACTCAATTTTGCATTTTGTGGAGAATTTCTAGATAAAGTTCAGACTCAAGAGTTTTAGGGACATTCCATATGCAGTTTTGAATGGATTAATATTTTAGAATGTAATATTTGAACAATGTTTAACAATTGGTTACTTTAATTATTTTAATATTTCGTACAGGTTTCAGTATAGTTTTGTATAAAGAAATATGCATAAAAAAATAGTGACTGTGTGAATATCTTTCAGTGATATACTTGATTCATACATTTTATGAATATATTTCAATGATATAGTTAACTGATATATTTTATGAATATATTTCAATGATATAGTTAACTGATATATTTTATGAATATATTTCAATGATATAGTTAACTGATATATTTTATGAATATCTTTGAATGATATAGTTAACTGATATATTTCGTGAATATGTTCCAATGATATAGTTAACTGATATATTTTATGAATATATTTCAATGATATAGTTAACTGATATATTTTATGAATATCTTTGAATGATATAGTTAACTGATATATTTTATGAATATCTTTGAATGATATAGTTAACTGATATATTTCATGAGTATGTTCCAGTGA